GAGTACAGTGGTGCTATCTTGGCTCACTGCAGTCTTCGCCTCCTGGGTTCAAGTGATTCTCCTGCCTCAGCCTCCCGAGTAGCTGGGATTATAGACACCGCCACCACGCCCGGCTAGTTTTTGTATTTTTAGTAGAGATGGGGTTTCACCATGTTGGCCAGGCTGGTCTTAAACTCCTGACCTCAGGTGATCCACCTGCCTCATCCTGCCAAAGTGCTGGGATAACAGGTGTGAGCCACTGTGCCCAGCCTCAAATTTAGTTTTCGTAGAGATAAAGTCTTCCTATGTTGCCCAGACTCTGCAGGGCTATTTTTGAAAAGAATGATTAATGAATAATTTTTTTTTTTTTTTTTTTGAGACTGAGCCTCACTCCGTTGCCCAGGCTGAAGTGCAGTGTTGTGATCTCGGCTCACTGCAACTTCTGCCTCCTGGGTTCAAGTGGTTCTCCTGCCTCAGCCTCCTGAGTAGCTGGGATTACAGGCGTGTGCCACCACGCCCGGTTACTTTTTGTATTTTTGGTAGAGATGGGGTTTTGCCATGTTGGTCAGGCTGGTCTCGAACTCCTGGCCTCAGGTGTTCTACTTGCCTCGGCCTCCCAAAGTGTGGTATTACAGGTGTGAGTCACTGTGCCTGGCCTCAATGAATGATTTTAAGTACTTCTTTATGCTACAAGGAAATTTATCAAAATTTAAAGGAGCAGTGCAAATGTCCTTTGAAGAGCTTACTTAGACCTTGATTATTTTGTTTATCCTGAAAATTCTTTTATAATAAAAAATGCATGTGGAATTAGTTAAAATATTTTAATAGCTTTTTGATAGCTAAATATTTCTATTTGGTTGCACATTTTAATGTATTCTAGCACTATAATGTTTAGTATATTTGGGCCTTTATATATAAAGCAGCATATTTGGGATTTCTGTATAGCAGGCACTCTGATGTGGAAAGAGCATTGATTTGGAAGTCAGAATATCTAGGTTTGAGATCCAGCTCTAATACTAGTCAGGTAACTGTGAACAATTCACATAACCAATCTAGCATTCCCAAATCTAAATGTACATGTGAATCACCTGGAAAAATTAAGAGACAGCATTTTGTTTCCTACCCGTACCAATAGGAATGAGGCCTGGGAACTTGTATTGTTTTTTATTTTTACTTTTTATTTTACTTTTTTTTTTTTTTTTGAGGCGGAGTCTCACTGTTGTTGCCCAGGTTGGAATGTAGTGGCGCGATCTTGGCTCACTGGAACCCCCACCTCCCAGGTTCAAGCAATTCTTCTGCCTCAGCGTCCCGAGTAGCTGGGATTACACGTGCCCACCACGCCTGGCTAATTTTTAGTAGAGATGGGGTTTCACCATGTTAACCAGGCTGGTCTCGAACTCCAGACCTCATGTGATCTGCCCACCTCGGCCTCCCAAAGTGCTGGGATTACAGGCGTGAGCCACCGTGCCTGGCTGTATTTTACTTTTTAAATAGAGACAGCGTCTTACTATGTTGCTCAGGCTGGTCTCAAACTCCTGGGCTCAAGATATCTGTCCCTCTTGGCCTCCCAAAGTGCTGGGATTACAGGCGTGAGCCACCGTGCCTGGCTGTATTTTACTTTTTAAATAGAGACAGCGTCTTACTATGTTGCTCAGGCTGGTCTCAAACTCCTGGGCTCAAGATATCTGTCCACTGCAGCCTCCAAAGTGCTAGGATTATAGGTGTGAGCCACTGTGCCAGGTCCCAAAATCTGTGCTCTTTATGAAGCTTCCCAGGAGATAATGGTGTGGTCCCTCAGAGGGAATGTGTTGGGGACAGCTCCTAGAAGATCTCTTAGGTGGTTTCCACTGCTAAGATTTATGGTTAAATATAAAACCTCTAAGCTTCATCATGGGAATTTGTAGATGTATCTTTGGTTTTATCTTTTGTTATTGCTCCTATATGCCTATTATTTATTTGGTGTTAGCTTTGATTGGTTAAAAAAAAAAAAAAATCCAATTACAGCATTATGCCTTTGGAAATATATAATCCTCTTTAATACATCAGCCCTGTAACAAAAGTTTCCAGCAATGTTTTGTGTTGAAATTGGAAAATTGTTTGTAATCAAGAATGTGAATTTTGATGATTCCTTCAAAGGAATTATGCAATTAGGGTATTCTTTTTTTTTTTTTTTGAAACAGAGTCTTGCTCTGTTGCCCAGGCTAGAGTGCAAGGACTCAGTCTCAGCTCACTGCAACCTCCACCTCCCAGGTTCAAGCGATTCTTGTGCCTCAACCTCTCACATGACTGGGACTACAGGCACTTGTGCCACTGTGCCTGGCTAATTTTTGTATTTTTTGGTAGACACTGGGTCTCACCATATTGGCCAGGCTGGTCTTGAACTCCTGGCCTCAAGTGATCTGCCTGCCTTGGCCCCCCAAAGTGCTGGGATTACAGGTGTGAGCCACCGTGCCTGGCCACCTAGGGTACACTTTTAGCCACATGGGCATGATTAGTCTTTGAGGAGCACTTAATTATTGGACTAATATGGCATCTGGTGATATCTGAAAGTGTCAAAGCGAGTGGTCTCTGCTTTGAATGAGGTACTTAGCTGATGCTGAGCAAAAGCATGGATCCGGTAGGGGTGACTTTGAAATCCTTCTCTACTATCTCCACCCAGGCCCACACAGACCCAGAATGCACACTTTCCAAGGGTAAGTGTGCATGTTGCCATAAAACCGTAAAACTCTTGAGGCTGATGGGGCACTGGGGTCATCTGAGTTAGTTGTCCGCCACACAGTATACAAGTAGTCCTAGTTTTCTTTAAAACAATGTCGTTGGCAGGGTATGGTAGCTCACTCCTGTAATCCCAGCAGTTTGGGAGGCTGAGGCGACAGATCACCTGAGGTCAGGAGTTCGAGACCAGCCTGACCAACGTGGAGAAACCCAGTCTCTACTAAAAATACAAAATTAGCCAAGTGTGGTGGTGCATGCCTGTAATCCCAGCTACTCAGGAGGCTAAGGCAGGAGAATTGCTTGAACCCAGGAGGCGGAGGTTGCGGTGAGCCGAGATCCTGCCATTGCACTCCAGCCTGGGCAATAAGAACAAAACTCTGTCTCAAAAGAAAAAAAAAAATAAATGAAATGATGTCTTTAAATTTCTTCTGTGAGCAATAACTGTAAAACTCCTGGTTTTTCTCAAGTCTTTGACACGTGATTGGCTTGGGTGGTCCATATTCCCTTTTTTCTCAAGGTAACTAAACACTAGTTTTTATTTTCATACATGATGTTCAGCAGTTTGCAACCTTCCTAGTCAAATTGTCCCATAGTTTGAAGCAAAGGGAAACGATCACACTCTAAATTCCCAGGTTTCCTACTTTCAGCCTCTAAATTTGGTTTGCCAAGCACCCCTGGTTAAGTTACCAAAAGATTGAGAGGAGTTGAAGGCATAAAGATGAAAGGACCATTTTTGATTTTTTTTTTTTTTTGGGGCAACCAAGTTACTTTGGCTTTTGCTCATCCTGTAACATTGATCTCCCTAGCCAGTGCTCTGTCTTCCAAGGGTAATAATGACATTTGGTACCAGGACACCATTATGCTCATACAAGTCATAGATTTTCTCAGTCACAGCCTGGGTATGAAATGGGGGTTGGTAATGGCGTTGGTGGAGTAGAGGGTGATGAGTTTTGGCACATGGGAAAGTTTGCTAGGCTTATGTATAAACTGGAGCCTTTTTTTTTCTTTTTTTTTGAGACAGAGTCACTCTGTCGTCCAGGCTAGGGTGCAGTGGTGCAATCCCGGCTCACTG